CGCGAACCTCCTAAATCCCCAGACCCTAATTAACCAATAACTGCAAGGATGCGGTGTTTTCCAAAAAACGGTATAAGCATGGTCAATATTTCAACTTCAGCAGTCCGGCGTAAAGATTAGCCGGATGTCCGCGAGGGAAAGAGTCGGATCGCCTCGATCGCCGGGGATTCATTCGCGGCGGCGTTCTCCGCATTGACGTCACGGCTGTTTATCGCCGGCAGAATGGACGAGAAAAGCTCGACGGGGAGACAGAGAGTGGAGGAGCCGCCACCGCGAGGGGGTGGGCGAGGGTTGACGCGGCTCGCACGGGGTGTCGGGTTTTGGCCGGGGTAGGGTGACACCGGCCGGTAATAACGGGTTACCGGTTACGCGCGGACATTTATTTATTTACGCCTCGCGCGCCGGGTAATTTCGCGTGATTCGAGGTTTCGTTCGCCGCGAGGAAAACCGTGTCTAAACGCAGGCCAGCCGACACCGGCTCCGCGGAGAAAAATCCTCGGCCCCGGACGCCGCAGTAGAAAACGACGATCAATGATCAGACGCGCGGGTAAACCGAGGCTGTGCGAGTGATCGCGGTAATACGTCGAGTCTCTCTGTGGGAAATTCACAGTTTTTGACATTACTAACGGTAGAACTGTTATTGTAGAATATTACAGTTACCGTCATTGCAATATTCGTCAGCTTCGCCAAAGAACATTCTAAATTCATTATATATTCCAGCAATAATCTTGAAACCAATCATCTCATCTTATTCGCATAAACAGATCACCAACACATTCCAAACTAATTCCAACCTCCACCTAATAACTCTAACCACAATCTTCGAAAAAATCGATACACCTCGATTCTATCGTAAACCGCCCCTAAACTTCCAAGCGTACAAGCATCCAATTACCAGAAACGAATAATCCTCTTGAAACCAATCATCTCATCTTATTCGCATAAACAGATCACCAACACATATTTCAAACTAATTCCAACCTCCACCTAATAACTCTAACCAAGCACGATCTCTGAAAAAAGCGATACGAATAATCCTCTTGAAACCAATCATCTCATCACTCGCATAAAAAGATCACCAGCACATTCCAAACTAACT